TCAGAGAAATGCAAATCAAAACTACAATGAGGTATCACCTCACACTGGTCAGAATGGCCAAAATAAAAAAATCTACAAACAATAAATGCAGGAGAGGGTGTGGGGAAAAGTGTTGGTGGAAGTATAAATTGATGCAGCCATTATGAAAAACAATATGAAGTTTTCTCAAAAAAATAAAAATAGAACTACCATTTGACCCAGCAATCCCACTCCTGGGCATATGCCCAAAGAAAACCATAATTCAAGAAGACACACAAGCTCTCATGTTCACTGAAACATTACTTGCAATAACTAGGACATGGAAGCAACATAAATGTCCATCAACAGAGGAATGGATAAAGAAGATATAGTACACATATGCTATGGAATATTACTCAGCCATAAAAAGGAACATAATTGGTCATTTGTAGAGACATGGATAGACCTAGAGAATGTCATGAAGAGAGAAGTCAGAAAGAGAAAAACAAATATTATATATTGACACATATCTGTGGAATCTAGAAAAATGGTATAGATGATAAATCCCATTTGCAAAGTAGAAGTAAAGACAGATATAGAGACCAAATGATGGCTACCAAGGGAAAGGCAGGGGGAGGAATGAGCAGGCTGGGACTGACACATGTACACTATTGATACTATGTATAAAATAGATAACTAATGAGAACATGTAGAGCACAGGGAACTCTAGTTAATGTACTGAGGTGACCTGAATTGGAAGGAAGTCCAGAGGGACAGGATATATGTATATGTATGGCTGATTCATTTTGCTGTGCAGTAGAGCCTAATATAACATTGTATACTCTGATAAAAATTAATCTAAAAATAAAATAATTGAGTTTTTAAACACAATTCAGTGATTATGACAGCACACAGGCAAAAATTTTAGTAAGAATATTACTGATAAAAACAGTGTAATTAATAAGTGTAATCTAATAAACACATATAGAACACATACCCAGTGACTAGAGAATGCATATTGTTTTCAAGCACCATTGAAACATTTGCAAAAATTGACTATATACTAGGCCAAAAGCAAGGTTCAAGAGAAACCAAAGAATCTATATCATATAGATCATCTCCTCTGGCTATAATGCAGTTGTTAGAAATTATTTATAAAAATATGACTTTTAAAAAGCTCACCTAAAAAAGATGGTTAATTTACATGATTTAAAATATACAGACATTGACAAATAACTCATAAAGAAATCAATTAAATTTTTCAAGATTTACAAATGAATGGAAGCAAAACTATTAAATACCAAAACATATAAAATGTAGCTAATATACTACTGAGGAGGAATTTATAATTTTAAATAAATATGTTAGGAAAAAAATAAAGATGCCCAAATTAATAAGCTAAGCTTTCAACTCTTAAGCAATTAGAAAAAGAGTCAATAAAAGAAGGAAATAATAAAGAGCAGAAACCAATGAAACAAATTAAAGATACATCTTCCCTACTATATCTCTATTTTGTATTTCTTTTTTTATTTTGTAATTCCTTTCTGCTGTAGGCCTAGATGGTTTACTCCCCAAATAATAGAGTAATAACTCTGATACCAAAACAAGAAAGAAAAGTAAGTCTATCTCACTCAAAAATATAGATGTAAATATTAGCAACCTAAATCCAGCCAACATAACATCAGTGTATATCATAACCTAGTGGGCTTATCCCAGAAATACAGGGGTGATTTAATGTTAGAAAGTTACTTATTGAAATTGACCATAACAACATGATTATGTTACTATATGAAGAAAGATTATTTGTTAAAATTCAATTATCAATTAATGGCAAAAAAATCAACCTAATAAAGAACAGAACATTTGTCATGTACTCAATCTCAGTTTCAAAATTAACATAAATGGAGAAGAGTCAATAAGAGCCAAGATAATTTTGAAATGGAACTGAATGTGGGAGACATTCAATGAGATTCAGCAGATTCTAGGTAAACCATGATGTGGTTTTGGTGAATAGATATAAACCAAAATGCATTAGAACAATTCTTCCTGTGAAAGAAAACTTGATACTCAACAGAGGTGACATACTAACTCACTGGGGAAAAGACAACTCATCCAAATGAATCCAGGAGAGCCACTGGCCTTCCATAATGGAAACATTAATTAATAAATCTCAATTGAACCTTGTGTAAAGAATCATTTCTAGCAGTTTTAAGGTCTTTTAAAAGAAACTTTAAAATAGATATTTGAAGAAAATACACAGTAATAGCTTTATAATCTTAAAACAGAGATGGGTTCTTAAGTAACACATATATATTTAATGGTAATAAAATTGAAAACTTATATACAATAAGGACATGAACATAAGAATCAATAAGCCACAAGAAAGAAAGATGATCATGACACACATAACCAAATGAAGATTAATATTTAGAATATAAGAATGAGATTTTAATAGAAAAAACAGGCAATAATATGAGTCAACAATTCCTAGAATGGCCTATCATTATATAAATGCTGTTCAATATTAATTGTAATCAGGGAAATATAAAGTAAAACAACAAAACATACCCATTAAATTTTTTTCATTGAAAGCTTAACAAAACCAAGGGTTGGCAAGTTGTAGAGCAATGGGAATTCTCATTATTGATAATGAAAATATTTACTGATTTAGACAGAAGATGGCAACATTTAGTAAAGTGCAAGGCACAGAAATCCATGACCCAGCAAGTTGTTCCTAGATTTATATCATAAAGAAACTTTCACACATGTCTAGGAAAAATGTTTAGGAACATTCACTGCCAATCTTGAAACACTGAAATATCAGAAACAACATAACCGTCCATCAACAAAATAAGGGATAGATACAGTGTGCATTTACCTATAATGGAATTCCATATAATAGTTAAAAATGAATAAACCATCAACGTAATAAGTGTCAAAATATAATTTTGGAGAGAAAAGCAAACTGAAAATTGGCATATCATGATTTCATTTGCATGAAATTTTAAAGCATGCACATACTATATATTGTTCACGAATCCACATGTACGTACTAAATTAGAAAATCATGCACGGAAATGATAATGGCGAATTGAGGATACTTATTGAAGGAGGAGAGGAAAATGGGACTTGAGAGTGATAAAAAAAAGGGGGGGGGGAGCTCTAGTTTTACCTATAATGTCTTGATTTTCTTTTCAAAAGATTTGATAAATACAACAAGATGTAGTGGATGTAATTTCTTCTCTGTATTTTTTCTATTTGCTTAAAATATATTGTGATTTTTTAAAAAGAAGTTAGTAATATTTTCTCCAATACAAAAGTATGGCAGTCAATTGCATTAGAGGACAAGGCAGAATAAAATGAGAAGGTCCACATGCAAGTCTCCAGCATAATCTAGTGCTTAATGTGCTAACATGTAACACATTTTCTGTGCTTGGAAGAGGTGAGACTTTCCCAGTTTGGACTGAGAGGAATGAGCCATGGATCCCAGTGCTATGAGAGAAGGGAGAGAAATTACAACTTTTTCCTATCCCTTCCTTCCTGCCTTGCTGCTCCAAATTCCTTTCCTTCCATCTCTTCTTCCCCTCTAGAGTGGCATGGAAAACCACAACCCTCTAACATTAAGGGAGAAAAGTTAGCTAATCATATGACTGTCTCTGCCATCCTACCAGCAGACTTCCTCCAAGCTTTGGGGGACCTCCTTTTATTAGAGGAAAACAAAATTCCACAGTATGTACAAATGATCAAATACCAGGAACTTTCCTCTAGTTTGAGACATTGGCCTATTAATAGAAATTCAAGCACATATGAAAGTTCTACCGAAGTTATTTGGCCAGCAAATTATTGAGTCTTAAAGGAGAACAAAAGATAATTGTATTAACAATGTTTATCAACTTGTATTAATTTATAAGTACTTAAATTATTTTTAATAAAATAGTATTTAACTCATTTCTTATGTTCTTGAATATATTCCTATATTTTCAGTATTATTTCTAATATAGTAATACTTTCTCATAATAGATTGCATTATTGGATTGCGGCTCTCTATTAACAGAATTCTCACTGTATAAATACAGAATGCTGTTTATGATTGGTTCAGAAATTCTACATACCTGGATGTAAAGGAAAATTGAAACTTTTAAGTATTAAATTTTCCAAAGCAAGATATAATTTAAGAATTACTTGATTTTGAATTGTTTTAGTATGGTAAAATTCTAACAAGCCAAATGGATATAAAATGAGGGGTGGTACTCTTTCCCATACACTGTCCCCCAGGCCCCTTTCCCCCAAAGCAGCCATTGTTACAAATATTCTAAATGTTTGTGTAAGTTACTTTATAAATGGACAAACATGCTTCAAAAAGGACTTATTTAAAAAGTCCGTTCCATAGGAATGGTATTTCAAAATGTTTATATTCTTAACTTGACTTAGCATATTTAATGCTTTTCCAAATACTACAGAATCTTCAAGCCTGGTATCAGTCACACAGAAGCAAGATTTCAAAGGAACCATGATAAAGGTGACACAATAAATAATTGTCCATTAAACTCTTTGTATAAAAGTCAGGAAAGAACAGAGTGTCCATGCAGTAAGTTTCAAAACTTGAGTCTTCTACCAATTACACATAAACAATTAAGTGACACATATGACTATCCTGTGTTGTGATGTATCATGTAAGAATATCAAAATATTTAGGAAATTGTTTTGTCCACAACTGAATGGAATCTTAAAAAGAACTAATAATACAAAATCATATCTAAATTGCTGCTTTCTTAACCATCCTAAACTTTAGCCAGATCTGAAATATTACAAGAGGCTGCCCAATTAATCTGTTTCTCACCCTTGCTAAAATGTTATCAGAAGTAGTTTGAGACAGAAGTCTCAAGAGAGAACATGTGATGTCAAATTATAGCTCATATTAACTTATTACTTTTCAACTCAATATATTTAGTATTTCCCATAGGTATAAAATATTTCTCATTTTTTTTTGAAATTTTTATTTGGGATTGATTTGTAAGAAACATGTCGCCTCTGTCTTTTAGGCTCTTCTAACATATAGGAGTGACCCAACCATGAGAAAAATGTTGAATCATCTGTATTTCTATATCATGCCTGTGTTTAACGTTGATGGATACCATTTTAGCTGGACCAATGTAAGTCACTTGCCTATCCAACTGAAAAAACTATGGAAAATTGTCCTAAAGTAGGAAGCATGCTTGGTGGGCTGCCAGCCTAGTACTTCCAGAGCTATGAAAGATTTCCACTCCCTTCCCCAGCACAGCATCAACCTTCTGATTTTGTTTATATGTTTGTCTTTTGCATAAGATTTCATGTTTAAAAAAAAGATGTCTCCTTCCAAATAAATTATGAAAAATCACTTATCTAGTCCAGCTTATTCAATTTTGCCTGTGAAGAAATGAGGCCAAGAGAAACTAAGAGAGAAGTCTGTGGCAGGAATTGGAGCATGAACCTGGGTCTCCAATGCTCATCTTGTCCTCTTCTCACTCCATGGACTTGTTTATTCCTGGAGGATATCCCCTGCCCCTCACTGCTGTGATTCATTCACTGAAGAACTACTAAAATGCATGGGGATAACCTCTTAAGTGTTTATTCTGCACCTCTTTTCTTTTAATTACATCTAGGATCGATTTTGGAGAAAAACAAGGTCAAGGAACTCAAGGTTTCGCTGCCGTGGAGTGGATGCCAATCGAAACTGGAGAGTGAAATGGTGCGGTATGTTGGGGACTAATGGGGATCCGGATTCAGAGGTATCCATTAGGGCTCTGATGCAACATTGATGTCTTTTTGTATGTGAAAACCTCCTATGTTATGCACTGTAGCTGTAATTCACAAAAGAAAATGAAAGCATTTTCATAAAGGATTCAAATCTGGCAACCTCATCCTGAAAATTGAAAATTTAAACACAGACATAAAAGCAGAAAACAGGAATATTTATCATTCAGAAACTAAAACAGGAAATGTGGCTTGTGGTATAAATCTAGTCAACGTAATTTATCCTTTCACTGAGAATAATGCTGATCCTGTCTTCATCTGTCTATGGTGATCACAGCTGCCAAATCCTTGTCTAGAATCTACCAACCTGCCAATCAAACACTGATTGGGCACTCATTTGGCAAATATATTTCCACTACATTCCATGTTTCATGACAGTAACCTTTTAAATAAGGAGAGGATGTCATTTTAAGAAAGGAAACTCTTGTGGCAAAATAAAGAAGCAGGTAGATAGCAAAAGAAAGAAAGAGAAAATTTGCCACAGCTAGTGTAGAAGAGGCAAAACTTGAGCTCATCCCATCTTGGGTTTTCAGCTGGGGCTCTTAAACAGAAAGACAGATTAACAAGAGAAAAACAGTTTATTAATGGGCTCTGCACATGATACACAGGAGAAAGCTCATGAAAAGTAACTCCAAGTGGCAACTTAGAACACCAACTTACACAGAGGCTTCAACAAAGAGCAATAAACTTGTAGAGAAACAATAGGACAAAGGAAAACAATTTTAAGTTTCCAAGGGCAGCCAACTGTGGGAAATAATTATAGGAGAGGAAACTCAAGAAGGAAGGTTTGTTTGCAGATTCCTCTGGTGCTGTCTCTGGGCTAAAGGTCTGTCTCTAGTAGGAGAATTTATATCCTGTCTTTAGGCAGAAAAGGGGAAGGTGGACTTCTCCTGCATATGCTGCTGCTCAATTGCCTTGGACTCAAATTAATTTTTATGTCAAAGAGGCATATTTGGGGGCAAGCGACATATTCTGGTTTACTTTGCTAGTTATCCTAGTTGGCAACAGCGGGGAGGGAAACAAGTGTAAGCCACATGCAGTTGTAAAGAGCTATCCTTTCTCAGAGTCCTTCCCTAGCGCCCTCAAAATACAGACCAGAGCGTTGTGCAATAGTATGTCTCACGAGAGTCTCTTAGAAATGAAGCTCATCACAGGCTTTCCTTCTGTGAAGCTTTGGTCCGGTACCAGATGCCCCTCCTCCCATCTCCACCAGCATCAGGCAGGATTCTTTAATCCACTAGAACTGGCAAATCAGAATATGATAAAGCAGAAAGGATATGGTTTAGAATATCGCAGATAGATTGCTTCCCTGGTGGCTCAGACGGTAAATAATTTGCCTGCAATGCAGGAGACACAGTTTGATCCCTGGGTCAGGAAGATCCCCTGGAGACAGAAATGGCAACCCAATCCAGTATTCTTGCCTAGAGAATCCCATGGACAGAGGAGCCTGGCAGGCTACAGTCCATGGGGTTGCAAAGAATCGATTGACTGAGCAACTAAACACTTTCACTTCACTTTCACGGTTTCATTCTACTATTGGTAGCAGACTGATTTGGGTGATTTTCTCCAATCTATGCCAAAGCCTTCGACTGTGTGGAAAATTCTGAAAGAGATGGGAATACCACACCACCTGACCTGCCTCTTGAGAAACATGTATGCAGGTCAGGAAGCAACAGTTAGAGCTGGACATGGAACAACAGACTGGTTCCAAATAGGAAAAGGAGTACGTTACGACTGTATATTGTCACCCTGCTTATTTAACTTATATGCAGAGTACATCATGATAAACGCTGGGCTGGAAGAAACACAAGCTGGAATCAAGATTGCCGGGAGAAATATCAATAACCTCAGATATGCAGATGACACCACCCTTATGGCAGAAAGTGAAGAGGAACTGAAAAGCCTCTTGATGAAAGTG